TGAGAGTAGTGCATTAAAATCACCTACCACTATTGTGATGCCTTCTAGTAGTGGTTTTTTGTTTTGTTTTGTTTTGTTTTTAAAGATTTTCATTTATTTATTGTTGCCCATTTTACCCCCTCTCTCTCCGTTATCCCTCCCCAAGCTGACTTCCTCCCCATTAGTTTATTTACAAAATTCTAATACACATTTGAACAAATTCTTTCAGTTTCCCTACCCCTCGCCCCCAAATTGTACTGTCCAATGATTAATCCCTTCTTCCCCCTGTACGTCCCTCTGCTTCCAGCCTCTCCCACCCATCTTGGATCCATATACTCATTCTGCATTAAGGTCTTATACAATATTTATCCTTGTGAGATTGAATTAGTTCACTCTACCTAATGCTTTCTAGTCCCTCCCAAGTTAGGTAATAATTTATAAAGTTATTGTTCCTTCATGCTGCATAGTATTCCATTGTGTGAATGTACCATAATTTCTCAATCCATTCATTTGTGATTGGATATTTGCCCTGTTTCCATGTTCTTGCAATGGTGAATAACACTGCTATGAACATTAGTGTACAAATCTCAGCTTGTGCCTCAGTTCTCATATTCTCAGGGTATATTCCAAGAAGTGGAATAGCTGGGTCATACAGAATCTCTATATTTAGCTTTTTCTGTCTTTCTTGAAGTCTTTTTAACTGTTGTTTTATGTACTTATTATGTCAATCATTTTTTGTGCGGATGTTCACCAAGATTCAGTCTTCTTGGTTTATTGTGTTACTCCTTATCTTTATTGTGGTTTTTATCTTCAAATCTGTTTTACTAGGGATTAGTATTGCCACTCCTGTTTTTCATGGATGCCATTTGTTTAGTATTATTTTTTTACATCTTTTGATATTTTTAGCCCATATTGTTCCTCATTTCTTAGATTCCAACCTTGTAGGTAACATATCAATGGCATTTGGTTTTCTATTCATTATGCTTCCCCTTTTCTCTTGATTGGTGTGTTTTATTCATTTACATTAATTGTGATTATTGATACACTAAATTGGGAAGGGCGTACGCCAGGGATGCATCCTATCTCCATACATTTTCAACCTATATGCAGAACAGATTATCCGGGAGGCTGGGCTCTATGAGCAGAAATGTGGGGTCAAGATTGGTGGACGATTTATCAACAATCTGCGTTATGCGGATGACACAACCCTGCTTGGTGAAACTGAAGAAGACCTGAAGCGCCTGCTGCAGAGTGTCAAGGACTGCAGCCTCCAATGTGGATTGAGGCTCAATGTCAAGAAGACAAAGATTCTCACCACTGGACCAGTTGGAAGCATCAGGATGGATGGTGAAGAGATTGAGATTGTACACAGCTTTAGTTTGCTTGGCTCCATAGTCAACAGTCTTGGCGCCAGCAGCCAGGAAATGAAAAGGCGCATTGCCATGGGAAAGTCTGCTGTTAAGGACCTCTCCAAAGTACTGAAGAGCACTGATGTCTCTCTGGAGACTAAGGTGCGTCTGATACAGGCCATGGTCTTCGCAATCACTTGTTATGCATCAGAGATTTGGACAATGACCAGGGAGGATAGAAGGAGAATTGATGCCTTTGAGCTGTGGTGCTGGAGAAGAGTATTAAGAATACCATCGATTGCTAGGAAAACAAACATTTGTCCTGGAAAGGGTTAAACCAGGTGGCTCCTTGGAGGCAAGGATTCTGAGGCTCCGTCTAACATACTTTGGACATGTGAGGAGAGACCGGTCCTTAGAGAGGGACATCATACTTGGGAGGGTGGAGGGATGGCGCAGGAGAGGAAGGCCCTCTATGAGGTGGATTGATTCAGTGACTGGGATAATTGGGATGGGAATGTCGGAGACAGTGTGATTGGCACAGGACAGAGCGGAGTTTAGGGCTGTTGTACATAGGGTTGCTATGAGTCGCAGGCGACTTGATGGCACATAACAATAACAGAAACTTTCTTTTGCTACCATTTTGATGTCTTTCTGGTCCATCCATTTCCTTTGCTGTCTCTGTGAGAAGAACTTCCCTTAGAGTTTCTTGTAAAGGTGGTCTTGTTTTCAGAAATTGATTAAATTCCTACTTTTTTTGGGTTCTTTCCTTGGGACATGGTGGAGTGACGCAAATCAATATGAAGTAATTCTGTCTTTGACCCAAGAGTTTAAGTCTTCTGTCTGTACCTATGAAACAGTAAGAGGTAGAATTGTTAACTCATGCATAAAATCACTTCTCAGGCTTTGCACAGTTTGGGACAAATGCTATATCTTTATGACTTTTCTAAGTATATAAAAGTTTTTGCCTTTATCAAAACTTTTGTTTTGTAGAAATTTTTTAAAAAGATCTTATTTTCTCTCGTTTGTGCTATTTGTGGAATAGAGAGAAAATAAAACCCTTTGGATAGTCAATTATATGGAAAAAGGACTCTCACTAGTTTACCTTTGTTTTAGTGTTCATCTTGTTTTTATTGTTTTGCTTACGTTTCTTTAGCAGCTTCATTTCTCCATCTTTGCAGTAATCTGTATGCTTATATATAAAGATTTATCATCTGTAGAATCAACAAAATGCCATTAGAAATAGGTGCAATATAACATAAAATTTAAGACTTAGAGGCAGATTTCTTAGCTTTTCCTCTATATAATGCATGTAAACAGTTTAATAGATTTTGTGGGTTTAACGCTTAGAAAAATTTCTGTTTACTTTGAGGTTTGTGTTTTTAGATAAATAGAATAGATAGGAGTACATTAACATTGTATTTGCAATTTTTGGAGCTAAAATTTTGGCATAATTTTTATTTCTCTATTAAACTAAATTTTTAGTGTTTAAAGAAATTACCCTATATCATTACCAAAAAAAAAAATCGTTGGTAGATCTATGTTGTGTATTTTAGCATAAAAAATGCTACAAATATTTTTTTCTCTTAAAACATACATTAAAATACTTTTTTGTTTTTAACCTGGCTCTAGGCCATATGTTGCATCTATTTCTGCTCTTAAACTACAGAAACAGCCATAGCAACACATAAATGTACCGTGTGGTCGTATTGCAGTAAAACTGTTTATGAATTTTAAGCAACTTGCCATCAGATGTTTTATTTATATATATTAAAGCCATTTGAAACTTTAAGACCATTCTTTACTTGGAGTTCTTATAAAAACTGATTATGACCTATTGGCCATTGTTGGCCATCTTGCTCAAGAATTGTTTTATTAGTGACCTGGCTTGGTTAATTATAACCTGAACACTAATACATTTCTGCTCTGTCCCATTGTCTTTATTAGGCAAGCTAATGAGGAATATCAAATACTGGCTAACTCCTGGCGCTATTCATCTGCTTTTTGTAACAAACTGTTCTTCAGTATGGTGGACTATGATGAGGGGACAGATGTTTTCCAGCAGGTAAAAGTGCTATATTTTAATTTGATAATAAATTTAAAGGTAATAGTTTTGCCACATATGAATAGAATTTAATTGGTTAATATTTATAATGATTTCTGTTATCTGATTACAGTAACTACTGCTAGTATGTTAATTTATTGTTAGTAAAACTTTACCAATAATACTTCAGGGAACACATTTTCAGTTTATGATCGTAGAAGAAATAGGCTTGTTTTACAACATGCAGTATGAACATAAATTTAATGTTATTTTAATGTTAAATTACATGTGACTTACTTGATATTTTCTATGAATTTATGGTTTAAAACTTTCTCCAGGCCTTACTTTTATTTCTTCCAATTTTGTAGATAATTTTACCAGTATTGCTTTGAAATACTTATTCCTATTTAGTCATCTCTAGAGGATCTTTTTTATGAAGCAAAGTGTAGTAAATTGTAGTAAAGGTATGACTTACTGTTGCTTTTAGGTGCCAGTCTTTCAACTGCTCCAGCTCATTGTTGAATCACCATGTCAGTGCATCTCACACTGACCTTCAGTTTTTTCCAAGAATTGGAGCCTTCTGCCAACATGCCCAAAGTATTTGAGACTAATTTTTCTTAGACTTTCCTTGCCTCTAAAGAACACCTTGGTTGCATTTTTTCCAAGAGAGATTTGTTGCTCTTTTGGTAGTCCATGGTATGTTCAGTTCTCTTTGCCAACACCACAGTTCAAAGGCATTCATTCTTCTTCAGTCTTCTATGTCAAGCAGTTGAAAATGCCATTCTTAAAATCATGTTTACCATAGGCTTTAAACCGATAGCATTGTTCTTTAGTGCTTTGGAGAGGGCCCTTACAGCAGATTTCCCCAATGCAACACCTCTTTTGATCCCTGGACTGCTGCTTCTATAACTGTTGGTGATGGATCCAAGTAAAATTAAGTCCTTGACAGCTTCAATCTTTTCTCTTTCAAAATGTTGCCCATTGGTTCAGTTGTGAGGATTTTGTTAATGTTGAGATGTGTATTGAAGGTTATGTAGTCTTTCTTCTTCTTTAGTGAATGCTTTAAGCTTTTTTCCTTTCTTGCTGTTAGCAAGCAATGTTGAGTCATCTGTATAACATAGATTGTTTTTTTTTAAATTTTTTTTTTATAACATAGACTGTTAATGAATCTTCCTCCAGTCTTGATACCATTCTTCTTCATATAGTTCAACTTTTTTAAATGATTATTTCATGAACACACTGAATAGATATAAAGATATCCAATCCGGATATCTTAATAGATATCTGAAATAGATATAATCAACTCTGAGAAACAACTTTTCTAAATTTAAATCATGCAGTGTTCCCTTGCTCTGTTTGAATGGCTGCTTCTTTGTCTAAGAACATGTTTTACAGGAGAACAGGTAGGATTCTGCAACTCTCATTCTTCTCAGTGTTATCCATAATTTCTTAAAGATCCTCACAGTCAAATGTCATCTTCTCTCCCCCCCCTTTTAAAAATATCATCTTGTAGTCAGTAAAACACAAGTAAACAACTTTCTGGTATTCTACTTTCAGTCAGGATCCATCTAACATCAGTAGTGATATCTTTTATTCTGTAACTTTCTGTCAGTTTGCTATTGATATCCTACTTATTCCAGTTATTTTGACATAATCTTCACCCAGATTTCACATCTGTGTGATATTAATGATATTGTTTGATAATTTCCTCACTCTATTGAGATCACTTTTTTTTTTTGTGGACAAAAATAGGATCTTTTTCAGTCAGTTGACCAGGGTATTTTTGGGCACAGATTAACAAACATGTCCAGGGCTGAATCCATTTGTTGAAATACATCAGCCGGTATCCCATCAATTCTTGGGCACATATTTTTTTTGCCAGTGACCTCAGTACAGCTTTAGATTTCTTCTTTCACTACCAATGTTTCTTGATCATAAGCTACTTTCTGAAATGTTTCCATGTTGCTCAGTTCTTTTTTCTTTTTTTTTAATGTCTAGTCATTTTGTATATTTCTTCCATCTTCTTTTGATGCTTTCTGCATCGTTCATTATTTTGCCATAGAATCTTTCAATATTGTTACTCAAGGCTTGAATTTACTTTTTATTCTTTCAGTCTGAGGAATGTAGATTGTGTTCTTCCCTTTTGCTTTCTGACCCCAGTTTCTTGCACATTTTGTTTTAATCACTTTGTCTTCTTAAGGTCTCCTTTAAAGTCCTCTGTTCATTTCAAGCATAAAAAAGATGGAACAAATATGACATACCACTTTCCCTCAATTGTTTTTGATGTTGTTGTATCCTCATTTGAAATATTAAATATGTGTCAGACATTGTTCTAATATCGTACATGCATTCTTTAATTTATCTTCACAATCTAGTGACAAGACAAAAAATTATGTTATCCTTTCCTCAAAGATGAGGAAACCAAATATGGAGAGGTTTATTTCACTTGCCCAACATTACAAATAATATGGAGCTAGAATTTGAATCCAGCAATCTATGTCTTGCCTATACTGCTCTCTTTCAATTACTACTTTTTGCTATTTATCACTACTCTGTTAATTTCTTTTAGATACAAAAATATTTTTTTTCTTATTTTTGTCATATGTGTGATTTTTTTATTACAATAACTCTACTGACTTTTAGAAAAACATTTGAGAAGAATATGTTTCACTAATTATAATTAGGCCACCATAGAGTATTTTTGTTCATTTTATTCTGGAGTAGTTATTTATTCAACTTTGCCAATTTCTAGTTAAATAAATATCTTTTTTACTTTCATTATCTCTTACTTTTGGGTTTTACTCTCGCTAATCATTTCTTTCTTCTCCTATACATTTATTTTCCTTTTCAGTATATGTATTCATTTATTTAATAAATTTGGTGATGATGGAGTTATGTGCCATTGAGTCAGAATCAACTCATAACTAACCCTTCAGTGAGTTTTCAGAGGTTGAAGATTACACAGAAGAGTGCCAGTCTTTTTCCCACATAGACACTAGTAGATTAAAACCACTAGACTTTGGGTTGGCAACATTGTTCCTTAACCACTGGGCCACCAGTTTATAATAAAGAAAATAATGGTTCTGCAAGGATAATGATGATAGTTATGATAACATAAATATAATAAAAGGGAACATCCCCCATAAACAAATACACAAGTTCATATAACCTTTTTTTCTCATATAACCTTTTAAAGGTTATTTTTTCATCTCCATAAAATCATAGAGTGTTTTTTCCCATATTAGGGGTGTTCTGATGGTGTAATCTGCTGCATTACTAAACCAAAGGAGTGGTCTCTCTCAAGGTTCAAAGGGAGCAAGAACAGTAATCTCCTCCCATGCAGTTATACAGTCTGAAAACCCACTACAGGGCCATCTATGGGTTGGCTCTGATCCTCAGCAATGAGTAGAATGAATTTCCGTATTTTGAATAGTCATCTAGGTCCAATCTGTTTTCTCAGAGGCTTCAAGCCAGTTATCTACCCTGGTCAAGTCACTAAAAAAGATTAAGTGAAGAAAATGGATCATTTGTAGTGTCTATATCTCTCTTACCACATACACTCAGTATGTTAATTCTTTATTTGTACAATTAAATAGTATTTGTCCCATTTTTAGGGGGGAAAATTAAATCTTGGTCTTTAAAAAAACAACAACAAACCAAACCAACACCCCTTAGAATCATTCACGGTTTGCTTTTCTCTGAACTACTGTAAGAAATAAAATGTCAAAACATGATGACAACTGATACTTGATCTCTGAATAAACAGTATGATTTGGCCCACAGTGCCAAACTGGAGAGAATATGCTTGGCCTCAGGAAAAGAAATCTAGCTCTTTTAAAGGATATAAACACCAAACATAGTAAGATTGTTTATCAGGAAGAGACTCAAATGTAGATTTTTAAAAGTGAATATTTGTGTCTATCTTTAAACTTTTGGCTGCAAACTTTAGTTTTTGTTGTGTACTGTTGAGTCAGAGCTGAATCATAGCTGACCCTCTAGCTGGTCAGAGGCAGTTAATTACACGAAAGAAGATTACCCGCAAAATATAAGATGGATTCAAAATGTGTGCATTTGGGTTGCCAGTATAATTCCTTAACTTTTAAACCACCACAACTCCCTAAATTGTAATACTTATGGAAGATAATTCTAAAGTTCAGCCATTTTTAAAAGAATTTTAAATAATTAAGAACCTAAGCAGGAAAAAAAAAATCTGATATTATAAATTCCTTCTGAACTCTAAATTTATCTTTATTTTTTGTTAAAGGCTATAAAATTTTAATAAGTAGAAATTTTTATAGAAGTGGAAATTTAGTCCACTTATATAAATAATACCTGACTATACTTACATCTTTAAGTACTAAAATTCTAGTACTTTATTAACTGCTTAAAAAGTAAGATAGTCCATGTACTGCTAAATAAGCGTGTTTGTGTATCATACTTATAGCCATTTCAATCTTGTTATAAAATTCTGGGAAGAAAAAGAATACAGTAGCTGGTGAGATATTTAGGACACTTGAAAATATGATACATGTTAAAACAGTTGAGTGGATTTAGCTAAATTCACAAGTTCTTTTATTAAATAGATAGTAAACTAGGATAAATAAAACCAGTAATTAAGCTCTGGAAAGTCCTTTGTATTTTCATAGTAAATACTGACTTTCTAAAATTCATGAAAACAAATGTAAAATACTGAATCAAGGATATACGTACAGATACAACTGTTGTGATGATACTATGTTTACTACTTTTTTATCACATGCTTTATAGCTCAATATGAACTCTGCTCCTACATTTATGCATTTTCCACCAAAAGGAAGACCCAAAAGAGCTGATACATTTGATCTTCAAAGAATTGGATTTGCAGCTGAACAACTAGCAAAGTGGATTGCTGACAGAACGGATGTTCATGTATGTTTTCATTTTTCATGGTTTTAATAATAAGCTGACCAGTTTAACTTACAAGAGCATTTTAATAAGGCTGCAGGTATATAATGTGTAGATTTATGTATATATACTTTCTGTAATTACTAGTGGTAGCCTAGCTTTTACTGCACTATTTTTCCTTGTTTAGGGTTGACTATTTGATAGCTGTATAATGTTTAAGTTGAGCTATGACTAAACTGGGTAAACACAAATAAAAGAATAATAATTTGTTAATATTCTGAAAGCCAGTAAAAGAAGTTTTATGATTTAGGGAATAATTTCAGAGTAAATATATTAAAATTATTTGATAGTATTAGGAATCAAAGAAATTTTAATATAAAAGATGTTTAATTTTTATCTTTTAGAAAAATTAATATGCTCACTTTTAATTAACTGAGAAAATATGCACTCATATATACTGCCTGTTAGGTTGTAAATTGGTCTAACTATTCTAAAACTATCTGTCATATGCAGTCTAATGTGCAACTCTTTCTTGAAATTGAACCCAATATTTACAATCCTTAGTCAGAGATTTTACTTTTAACCATATTCATTTTAATGGATAAAATTAGAAACAAAAATCTAAAAATAGGAAACTGACCTATGAAAAACTTTTGACATTTGTTTGACAAAGAATAAAGATCAGAGTGTAACAAGTAGAAAAGTAGATTAGAAAAATAGTACTTTCAATTGGATCTAAAATTTTATTTTAAACTTAGATCTTGATATATAGGTAATGGCACATTAGAATATCGATAGCTTTTTCAAAAAGGAGATGAACCAGAATATTAATGATAGGTAACCCCTATATGGAATTTCCTCCCAATATCATTGAGTTATTTTAGAAGTCTGCCTGTTCTAGAAAAAAATAGAAAATTAAAAAATCAAACCCACTGCTCTTGAATAGATTCTGACTGATGTGACCTTCCATTGGCCTCTGAAGCTGTAAATATCAACCAGATCAGACAATCTCATCTTTTCTCATAGAGTAGCTGCTGAGTTCCAACCACCAGCCTTTTAGTTAGCAGTCCAACATTCAATTCTCTACATCACTGGAGCTCTTTAGAAAGAATATAAAAGAATAAAACAAAACCCATTCCTGTTGAGTTTATTTACTCATGCTGACCCTTGATCAGGCTTAGGAGGTTGCTAAATATAAGAAGTTGAATGAGTGCTGCTGCAATTAAAAAAAAATAAAATATATATAGTTGTTGTTAT